GCCTCTGTTACAAGGCCTAGCCGAATTCACTATTGTACACGGTGAACCCCTGAGTCCATCAATATGAGCTCTTAATAGGCCCAACATCTACACTAAATAGTACTTGAGTCCAGCTATCTTATAAAGGCCCGAGGATTATGGTTCTTAAGTGAGATTAGCCCATCAGGTATAAAAGCCCTAAATAGTCTTACACTTAACCTCTCAGCCCATTATGATCAAACACTGCCCAACAAGATAAGACATCTCCCTCGGCTGCAAGGTACAGTGTTGCACTCTCTACTCGGGTGAATCCCAGGAATTATATATATATATATATATAATTCTCAGACTGCCCCAACATACCCAGGTTTTGACCTCCATTAAGGATTTCACTAATTGGCATATCAAAAACAGTCAAATCCAACACCTAGTGCAGTACCATAATCAAGTCTAGGGGTTAGGTGTAACTTTCCAATTTTTCCCACTAGTCTTCAAGGTCTAGGGCATAACTAGAAAATGGTTCGAGTTCAGTGTTTCAAGTAAACACACACTACATGTGCTTCGAATCTCACTCTAGCAGCTGAGACAAGTTACCCCATCCGACTTAGTAGCACATTAGTGTCAGCCTTGGCAGGATACCCCAGGTCTATCCAACGGCTGAGAACATTCTAAACTAACATGAGTCTCATAAGTGTCCAGTTTAAGGGTAATTACACAGAAACATATCAGATATAACATGAATCAGTTATATTTTTTTATTCATTCATCTCTTCAATATTAGGAGCGCCTTTACTTGATGAAGATTTTTTAAAGAGATTTAGTTTTGAAAATGCTCATTTCATACTCGGTGTACGGAATAATTTGCTTTTACTCCTTGACAAGGATGTTTGTGATGAATCACCACCCCCTAATACTTTGAATTTGTAATATAGACCTACTTATTCGAAATTGTTGTACTTGCTCATCTTCCCACTCTGTGGCTTATGATGCATGTCTTCCCATATTATATGTTTTTGTTCTACATCATCATCATCATCTATGTTAAAATATTGAGGCTTTGATTCCATGCCCTCCTCTTCTTCATCATCATCATCATCTCTAGGCCCCAATGTTCTTTTAATCATTTTTTATCATTTTCTTGTTGTTTTCTCAACATCTCTTGTTCTTTGAGATCTTTTTGCATCACCTCAGAAATTTCTAGTGGGTATTTAGGGTAATTAACAACATTATGATATTCTCTTACTAAGTGGTGTTTCAGGTGGGTCACACTACAACCTTTCATAACTTGCCCATAAAAGTTGCATTTTGTATGGAGTCGATTCCCATCAACTCTGGTGCCACATTTTCAACCAATATATTCTTCTTCCATTGTTTGGGTGCCATGTTGAAGGGTTAAATGGTCAAATTCTAGATCCCAACTCCCAAGTATTTGTGTGTCACAGATTCACTATATTACATTATCATACTGCATATGCACAAAATTAATTAGTGGTTAGAAGTAACAGTTAATCATAAATCTAACAAGTAATTAAATAAATTATATAATTTAAAAATAACAATCATTAATTACCAAATAACCAATTATCCATCATATAAACGTATTCAATCACAAATATACACCATGAATCACATAAAAATTCAATTATTATATTAATTATCCAGTTTTAAGTATTAATGTGTTAGTAAACAAATTATCCAATACAAATGTCCAATTAAACAAATTAGTGAAATAACACTTGTTTTCATATTTTTGAGGCCACAATTATGTTTACATTCAAATTATAGATTATCATGTTATGCATTTTATTTTGTATTTTTTAAACATTTTTAAATATTACTAAAAATTCTTTTTAATTGTTTTAAACATTTACCCAAGTGTTATCTAATATAATTAAGAAACTAACAATTATTGAATCAAATAATTATGTAAAATTGTAACTATTTAATCAAACACTTTTTCTATATATATTTTAAATAATTATTTATTTTTATTCAAATAATTATTTCGTTTGTTTTATTCTAAAATTTAAACAAATATTTTTTTCTGAATGTCTTCATGGACATCTATTATTTTTATTATAAAATTAATAATTATTTTTCATGTTTCATTCTAAAAACTAAATAATTATTTATTTTTATTTAAATAATTATTTTGCACATTTTATTCTAAAAATTAAATATGTAATAGAAAAATTGAATGGATTTATGAAAATAATAGATCAAATAATTATTTTGCATTTTTCATTCTAAAAATTAAGTAATTATTTATTTGTTATTCAAATAATTATTTTGCATGTTTTATTCTAAAAATTAAACAAATATTTTTTTCTGAATGTCTTCATGGACATCTATTATTTTTATTCTAAATTTAATAATTATTTTGCATGTTTCAGTATAAAAACTAAATAATTATTTATTTTTATTCAAATAATGATTTTGCATTTTTATTCTAAAAATTAAATTAAAATCTGAAAAATTAAATATGTAATAGAAAAATTGAATGGATTTATGGACATAATAGGTCAAATAATTATTTTGCATGTTTCATTCTAAAAACTAAATAACTATTTGTTGTTCAAATAATTATTTTTCATGTTTTATTCTAAAAATTAAACAAACATTTTTTCTGAATGGCTTCATGGGCTTCTATTATTTTTATTCTAAAATTAATTATTATTTTGCATATTTCATTCTAAAAACTAAATAATTATTTATTTTTATTTAAATAATTATTTTGCACATTTTGTTCTAAAAATTAAATTAAATTTTGAAAATTAAATATGTAACAGAAAAATTAAATGGATTTATGGACATAATAAATCAAATAATTAGTCTACATGTTTCATTCTGAAAACTAAATAATTATTTATTTTTATTCAAATAATTATTTTGCATGTTTTATTTTAAAAATTAAACTAGAATTAAAAAGTAAATATGCAACAAAAAAATTGAATGAATTTATGGACATAATCACATAATAGATCATCTATATATTTACTATAAATATATATTATTAGAATTTAAATCATAGCAAAAAAAATCAGAGAGATAAATAAATATTTATTATCTAAAAATAAAAATTTAAAAAAACAAACTAAAATTTTCACATGATAGATCAATCTTATGGAATTATGGACTATGTTGATCATTCATAGCTCTATAACACGCACAAGTCTCAACCTATAGGGTTAGATCACATAAAATTGAAGAAATTATTATTATTATTATTATCATTTTGAAAATAAAAAAAATCAATTATTTAGAAGAAATTTCAATTGATCTATGGACATGGTAGATCATTAATAGATCTACAACATAATCAATTTTTAGAGGTAGATCACAAGAAAAACCTAAAATTTTTATTTCTTTTTTCAGATTTTTTATTATTCTGGAATTTCCTCAAATATTCACAAATATCTACATATAGCAGCAAAATAAGAGAAATTTTTTGCACAAGAATAGCAAATCAACATACATAAAGATGTTTTCAAGCATCCAAACTAAAAAAAAAAAGAAAAAACACAAAAACATTGGTTGAAACTATAAAAAAAAATTGATACGTGACGAAATTTTGAACCTTGCCCATCACAACTAAAAGTAAATTTCATTTCGTGTTTGTACCTATTAAAACTAAGCATTCGTGTTTATAAATGGCCAAGGAATTTGTTGGTAATTTAATGCCTCATCTAACTTAACAAATGGGGTATTTGTTGCAAGGTGAAATTCAGAAGAGCCTTTTTCGTAAATGAAAGTTTAGGGAGGTAATTAATTGTCACTATCCCCATAGTATGAGGGGGTTTTTTATAATTTACCCTTATTAGTTATTAATATTTCTATTGAAATTGAATCTTATCCATATTGGATTTAAAATTAGATCAAATTCAAATATTAAATTTCTTGATAAATTAAAAAAAAAAATTACCAACTGAAAATGACTTTAATATTGTAAATAATGAATAAAAATGACTTGAAAAGAACTTGTATGACTTTAATATTGTAAATTTTTGGTGCCATGCACCACTAATAACCCCAATAAATCATGAACATATGGAATCTGCAAGAATCGATTCCATGTTAATGCTGGAGTAAACCAGCTACCATACTAACAAACCACCCCTCAGTTGATATAACCTATGAACCTTTGAAGAAAATATACAACATTCAAACTGAATTTAGTACTTTACTAATACTAGTTTTTATGTAGACACAATCATGCACGCTTATATATCATGGGATCCGATTTGGATCCATATTTGGAATTTAATTCAGAGCAAACCCAACACAACAGATACAAGCGTGCATGATTGGGCCAAGAATTCAAGAATTTCATAAATTCATTTTTTTAGATTTTTTAAGGCTTTCAGTCTTTGAAATCAAGTTTATTTTCTCATTCATTTTCTTTGACTTGTAATCAACTAATCGTATAGCTACGCCCTAGAAGCACGCGACGCACCATAACATAGGTGCCCCACCAATCGAACGGTTGAGATCAATGCATGCAGCAGAAATCAAGGGCGGGTGTATAAGGGCGTTTTCGTAATTTCGATAGGGCTGTGTTTGGGTGCCATACAACTCAAACCGCGTGGACAAACCCAACCTCGGTCAGACTCTCTAACCAATCGCTTTTGAGTCTTTGAGATTGTGAAAACTTGAAAAGAGAAGCCACGCAGGAACCAAAGAAAAAAAGTAGTAAAAAGTTTAAAGGCCAAAATACCCTTCTCGAGAAGACACGATTACAAAATAACCCTAATACGCATCCATCGACTTTTTTCTCTAAATGACAAGAATGAAAGATATTCTCAATGCACGCTGAGATGTACATGTGGGGCGCCGGTGGATCGCGATTTGTGGGGGACATAGTTGTGATTACATAGAATCCTAGGGGCATCTCTCGATTCTCTCCCCTGTTGTTATAATTGTAATTATAAGAATCGTTCAGGGTCATAATCGTACAAAAACTGGGGATGTAAATTGTAACTTGTGAGTAAGAGAGCTTAGTCATGATTTGGCGTTTTCGACGGCTGTTGGTTTCTCCTTAATAAAAGCTCGAATCGACAAAACTTCGCAAATCAAATCCAACACCCCATCTCTTCAGTCTTCCCTCTCTCTCTCAGAACCCGAATTTTCAGGCGACCCAGATCGGCTTCCGGCGAAAACCCAGAGTTCTACCGATGACCCATCAAGGATTTCCACGTACCCAGATCGGATCCAAGTGTTTTTCATTGTAAAAATATCTCTCAGATGAAGCTTGGATCCAATTCCAACTGATTGGGGACTACCACCGGCCCACAAGAGTAAACGGGAAGCTGAGATAGAGATTGGATCTGTGAAGTAGACGTAGAGATCAACTTGACTCTGGTCTTTGGAGAATCAACCCAGACGATGAGATATTGAGTTTGAATCGAGATATCTCATCCGAAGCCAATGTTGGGTAAGGTGGTGATCGCGGTAAGGTTGTGTGTTGGATCGGAAATGGAAAGATGAGATTGAAATCTCGTTTGGCTATCAAATTGATGGGGAACTGTTTCACCGCTGAAGACAAACCAGTTAAGAGTAAGCCGGGTACCGATTTTTCTCAAATCAGTTCCCATTCTTTTTCTCTCTTTTTCATGTGAAATGTTTTCTGTTTTTTTTTTTTTTTTTGCTCTGTGAACTCATGCTTTTCCGTATCAGTTCAGTGCTAATCTTTGAGAATATTTGACAGCACTGCACTTACARAAAAAAAAAAAAAAAAAGCAAGAAAAGCATGACTTGATAATTCTGGAAACAGGGCGTACTTTTTTTGCTAACGTGCGCACCTAGGTTACAGGAACTTAACATTCACCCCCTTAGATTTTGAATGAATACGGAAATGGTTGCAGAGCCTTTGTAAGCAGTGAACTGAAGTACTGACCCCACTTTTAAAATTTTGCTTTAGTTTCTTTTATAAGATGACAGAAATTTACAACCCTGAGATTAAGCCTAGAATGTAACTAAGATCACCCTGGCCAGAGTTGCATTGAACTTCTATAGTACTGTAGTTAAGTACAGCCAACAGAGTTGCATTTAATTTGAAGGCCTTCATTAGTGAGTAGCTTGGGCTACCCTTCATTAGTGAGAATGGAAACCAAATGTAATTTAGTACTGAGCTTGTTTCTCTTTGGAAATCTAACATCATTGTCATCATCATTATCTAAGCCTTATCCCAACTCATGAATCCTGTCTTTCCATTCCTTCTGGTTAGTATCACATCCATTGTTAAATTATGAGGTCTTAAATCATTTCTTACTACTTGAGATCATGTCTTTCTGGCTCTATAACCCTTCTAACCCCTTCAATCCATGTACTTTGAAAGCTACATACATGCAACCCTTATGTTCTTTAAGCACAAATTCAAGACCCATTTAATACAGCATTTATATTTCGTACCCGCAAGAATAATTGTTCGTATTCGATTATCAAGAAATGTTATTGGGATTATATACCACCTTATAGATTTGCATCCTCATAAGTGATTCTTTTATTGAAAAGGCTAACGTATTGTGTTAATACAAAATAGAAAGCATCTCATCCCACCATAGCAAGATGCTGTGTCAAGTATACCATACTCAAACAACATATACATAAATGTTGATGCCTGTTAGTAACAAAAAGTGTACCCATAAGTGATAGAAGCAACAATATTAGTGCTACTGTTATAATTAGTATTGGTACTAGTATATATTTTAGTATATTTTTTGGTCGAAATTTATTTGAGTATATTAATGCTCTTTTCTGACTGCAAATGGAATCCTCCAGAAATTTATTTGAGTACATTATTGTTAGTTGTGTTTTCTGCCAGAGGTGCTAGTTATTCTATCTTCTACTTGTTTTGACTTTCCATCTTTATGTTTACACCCACTCCTGCAAGCCAAACAAAGCCTTAGGGTTAGCATCAGCAGTGTTAATCGTCTGTAGCCAAGATAGAAACTGATACCTAATTATAAGTAAATACCACAAAAAAAGAAATACTGAAAAAACAAAACTGAAATCTAATCCTCAGTATTTCTTTCATATACAAAATTTCAGTTGAGATATCTCCATCCAAGAACAGACTAGAAGCACAAACAAACAACGGCAATGGAAGCATTTCTTTGACTCCCAAGAATGTCAAAGATCTTCGTCAGAACCCCGGGTATAGTAATGTTGACATCTTTACATATAATGAGATGAGACTGGCTACCAAGAACTTCCGGCCAGATCAAATTCTCGGCGAGGGAGGATTTGGGATCGTGTACAAAGGGATTTTAGATGAGAATGTAAGACCAGGTTATAAGAGCACCCAAGTTGCAATTAAGGAGCTAAATCCAGACGGATTCCAAGGCGACAGAGAATGGCTGGTATGTTTTTTCCCTTGTCTTTATTGTACTAGCTTGCATTTTATTTCTCCTTTGGCGATATGAACCTTTTACTTAATCCCTGCTTCCATCTCTCCCTGTGTTTAAAAAGGTAGTAAGATTTATCACAGAACACATATGTTTGTAGCATCTAAATTGATGCCTAGATGATTAAAAGTTCTTAGGTTCACCTGGTTGCCTTGACAACTATGACATTTGAACAATAGGCCTTGAAGGGTACTCTCTCTACTTTTACAAATCAAATGGTTCTTTAAACACTGATTCCTTGTGCTCAAATAAACAATCCTTTACCCAACTACTTAGGCAAGGCTACATAAGTTATGTTTTACCAATACCATATTCAAGGGCCATATCATCTGACAGTCATCAGTTAAATGTGAATTAACTTATGGTTGTAATCAGCAAATAGATTCATCAAGCAGTCTAGAATGACATTTAGAAGTGAGGTGGCAGGATGGAGAGGCATCAAAAACCATTGATGCCCCACCTTAGGGTTACACTTAAGTGAGACTCAGATATAGGTTTGCATGTAACAATTCCAGGGCATGTACAGGGAGGAGAGGTTCCTATCACTTCTTCCAGCAAGCACTTAATTTCCCTGTGTTGCCAAGAAACTTCAAAGTGGGTGCCATGTCGATTGTCGTATACCTGTTCATACTTTTCCCTCGTGGTATCTGTCTCAAGAATAAAAAGGCCATTACTAGGGGTAATCATGGACCAGGCCAGGCCTGTGCCAAGCTTAACACCTATTCTAAGGGCTTTCATCTAGGCCCAGGCCTGACCTGCCCCAGACTCCTTTGCCTGAAATATAAACCCTATGATTTCAAGTACATTATATAGGGAGTAACAAGGGTAAAAAGATGAAAAGAAGGCATTTTAGATGTTTTTTACTGTATTTCTTTAAATGTTTTGATAATTAGATTTGAATATTAAAATATTTGGACAACCACCATTGCAAATTACAATTTTTAACATAATATGATATTGTTAAAACTTAAAATATTATAATTTTGATAGATGGATGGATGGATGTTTGTGTGTGTGCACGCGTGTGCGTGTGTGTGTGTGTGTGCGTGTCATGTGCATTGCGGGATGGGCTCAGTCCAGACCTGCACACAACCTAGGGCAAGCCTGGAAATTTCCAGGATGAACTAGAAATGATTACCCCTAGCCATTTCCAGCTATCTGTCACAAACCTCAATTCCAATGTGTTTGACACTAACTGTACAGAATCAGTGTGCTGTTTGGTGACTTTATTGTAAGTGGTATTCATCTTTTTTCTCATGGTAAAACATATTTAATTTATTTCTCTTTTGCAGGCAGAGGTAAATTATCTTGGGCAGCTCAGCCACCCTAATCTTGTGAAACTCATTGGGTACTGCTGTGAGGATGAACACAGGCTACTGGTCTATGAATATATGGCCTGTGGGAGCCTGGAAAAACATCTTTTTCGTCGTAAGTAACTAATTTTATACTGATATTCAAACTTGACATCCTAAGAAAACTGATAAAACTACATGACATCCAAAGAAAGTGATAATGATATATGTAATGTAGAGAAGCGATAAACAATAGGTCAGCTAGATGGACTAACCTAAAGGGGAGTATGGAAGTGCTGGACACTGCTTGTAAACTGTACCGCATATATTTCCTATTCTTTTCACACATTAATAAAATTGATAATTAGCTACCAATCAAAAAAATGGCATACTAACAAACTAGTGCAGTTATGCTTTGCCCAATAGTAAAATAGAAATTTTATTAAGAAAAAGGAAGAAGGATATAGTCACAGTTCCTAGAAAACTTCTCCATTTGATCCAAGGGGTGGGAAGAAAATCATCTCTTCTGGGCTGTTTTGTAATTTTCTTTTTTTTTTCTCAGTAATCAAAATCAAATTTTATTACTTAGAGAAAGAAGAGAGTACAGAAATAAGGGCAGCCTCGGCTACCATCAATAGAATACAAAGACAATGAATATCAGTCTTAGAACTGAGCCCAGAAGCATTCTGCCCTATTTACCCCTTGCTTTGCTAGTTGGTCAGCTAGGTCGTTTGCCGATCTAGGAGTACAATGAAATTTCAGCTGCATATCCCTTGAGAACCTCTTGAACTGTTTGATTTTGTTTCTGAAAAACCAAGGAGCCTTCTCATTCTGTTTTAACCAACTTATTACTATTTTGGAGTCGCCTTCAACTATTAGCTTTTGAATCCCCACTTCCATACATTTCTGCATCCCATAAATTACTGCCTTCAGTTCTGCTGTTGCAGAGTCACCCATACCAATGGGGCAAAAGTACATTCCCATGATCACTCCGCATTCATTTCTTAAAACCCCTCCAATTCCTGAAGGCCCTGGATTCCCAAAACTACTTCCATCGAAATTTAATTTCAGGAATCCTACCTCTGGAGGTTCCCATCCCTCTATTACCTTCCGCTGTGCTGAAGATGAGGCTGCAATTGTTCTCCAGTTCCATAAAATATCATCAATGGAGAAAGCTGAGAACAACTTCATTGTCTTTATCCAGAAAGCCACTTTTGCCATAATCCCTTCAATCAATGCTTCTTTGCTCCTTTTCTATTCCTCAAATATACGCTTATTTCTTTCCTCCCATAGGGTCCATATTACTGCTGCTCTTGTGCACCTCCACATCAGTCTTCCCCTCCTTTCTGGCCAGCTGAAAATGGAGCCATCAAACAATCTGTCCGGAGAATTCCACCTGCACCCAAAAAGAGAAAAAAACCAATCCCAAATACCACAAGCAAATGGACAGGAAATGAACAAGTGAAGAGCAGATTCACCATTGGATTCACACAGGCAGCACCAATTTAGGGAAAGGCACCATCCAGGTCTCTTCCTTTGTAGAGCATCACAAGTGTTAATAGCACTATGAAAGACCTCTCAACAAAAAGCACTCACTTTGGGGGGAATCGGATGACACCAAATCTCTTTGACTGGGAATGGAGTATTTGGTTGAAAAGACAAACATAGAATTTGTTTGGTTGACTGGGAATCGGAGTATTTGTAATTTTCTTTTCTTTTGGGGGAGATAAGAGAGGATATATCTCCTTGTCGTATTTCTTATGCTTAATTGGAAGAATCGATGAATTTGTTTCAGTTATTGATAAAATAAAATCCCCTTTTGTGACCTTTAGTGTGATAGCTCAGAGGAAGGTGTTTGGGTACAATATATGAAGAAACATGGACAAAAAATGACTACAATGTAGAATTTACAGACAGAATATGTACAAATACTAAGTGACTCCCTTTAGGAGCCCAACCTCCTGCAAGCAAAAACACTGCACACATGGCATCCAACCACACATCGGATATATCTCCTGTACATGTATGTTAAAGTCGTAGAAAGATGTTCCCAATGTGCAACTGGATGCCCATGTTTTCAGAGTTTGTGCAGAGTTTTTTGCTTGCAGGAGATCCCGTAGCTTCATTTAGACAAAAAAAAAAAAAAATCATGCATATTTGAAAGCATTTATATGTAACAAAATTGAGCACCAAATCTCTTTTCAATTATTTCTATAGTCCATACAACTCCCATTTTCAAAAGGAATCCTTGTTTCAAAAACGTTAGTCCATATTTGTCAGATTTATGATGAGGACAAAAATGTTGAATCTTTTGACCAACCTAATAGAGAGAAATACTTGGGATGTTTTTCAAGGGGACGAAGCCAAATGGAATTCATGGGGTCTCTTTAGAATGAAAAGTTGACAAGCACATCTGCCCACTTACCCGTTTCTTCTCTGTTGACAGGAGTATGTGTAACATTGCCTTGGTCCACTAGAATGAAGATTGCTTTAGGTGCTGCAAAAGGGCTTGCATTTCTTCATGGAGCAGAAAGATCTATAATATATCGTGATTTCAAGACTTCAAATATTCTTCTGGATGCGGTTAGTAAATTGGTCACCACAGTTATAGCTTAACATTGCATTTGTCTAGTAATTCTAAATCCAAGTGCACCAAAATTCAAGATACATATATTACATGAGTTGGGCGCAAATGGCAAATGGGTATTTTGCACTGCTAATGGATTGGCAGAGGGGGTATCAGCAAAGTAAGGGCATTAAGGGATCAATTGTACCAGGGTCAACTGCCTAAAGGAGAGCTGTAACTGAAATTTGAGAGGTGGTTAGCTGAGGCTAGCTAGCCACTTCCTGAGGAGAAACATTATAGAATTATACTTTGAATACTTTTAAACAATAAATGAATTGACAATTATCTGAAAAAAAAGTATCCATATAAAAGCAAAGCTGGTTGGATTTCTTAATAGAAGTATTTTCTTGCTATTTTGATAAATCCAGCTGTATTTCTCAGAGCCAGTCAACATGTTACATTATGTCAACCCTATTATCTTACAACTGATGTTGAAATCAATCTACAGGAGTACAATGCAAAGCTTTCAGATTTTGGACTTGCGAAGGATGGGCCTATGGGAGACCAGACTCATGTGTCCACACGAGTTATGGGTACCTATGGATATGCAGCTCCGGAGTATGTAATGACTGGTAAGTTTACCGACTGCTGATATAGGCTAGTTGACCAAGTGCCCATGATACGCTACTAGCTTATCATCTGAGCCATTTATTTGTCTGACCAGGTCATCTAACAGCTCGAAGTGATGTTTATGGGTTTGGGGTTGTGCTCCTTGAGATGCTCATTGGAAGGAGAGCAATGGACAAGAGCAGACCAAGCCGAGAACACAACTTAGTTGAGTGGGCACGTCCACTCTTGAACCATAATAGGAAGCTTTTGAGAATCTTGGACCCAAGAATGGAAGGTCAGTACTCTGTGAGAGCCGCCCAAAAGATTGCCAATTTGGCATATCAATGCCTTAGTCAAAACCCCAAAGGAAGACCTACCATGAGTCAGGTGGTTGAGATACTGGAAGCCTTTCAAATACAAGCTGAGAACAGGGAAGACGCACTGCTCCAGAGTGGAGGCAGTGGTGTAACCCTTTACGAGGTTCCTAAGAACAATCCTGATAATCCTACAGAGGGTAGGAGAAAAGCAAGCAAAAGTGAGGATGAGAAAGAACCTGACGTGGATCATCAAAAACAAACAAAAGCAGGCAATGGCAGAAGGAGCAGGAGCAAGAGTGAACTTCCCATGGATTCTGATTTGTATAGCCCTTCTCCAGACCGTCAACCCCGGGAGAAGAAATCGCCTGCTGCAAGAAATGGAAGAAAGACACCATCTATGGATGGAGTTGATCTGTACAAGCTCTGAAGAGGAACCAATGAATTTGTTTTTTGTTTTTTTTTTTTTTTGGCTGAATTGGTATTTCTAGGAATTTGTGCTATAAACTCCGTTTTCTTCCCACCTTGAAAATATTTTCGAGCTTTAAATTTTCATTTTGATTTAATATAAAAACACTTGCATAGAGAAAGTCATTTGGGGCTTGGTCTTAGGTTGAAACTTGAAAGTTGAAACCTCATCATGGGATGGCATGGATGCTTTTTACCATAGAAAATAATTATTGGCCCTGGACCCCTTGCCTGATGACGAGTGATGAAGAACACTACGTACTCAGGTACTCTTTGGTGTCATCACATTTTTCCTCGAGATCTCTCCTTTCTACCTATTAATCTATCATCCATGGTGCGGGGCTTTTGTGGGAATAATGACCTACTTTGAACCAGTTTTCGTTGCAATTAAACTCTTCGTTATGAAAAAACTAGCTAATGCCAAGGCTTTACTCGGTTTCCTGCTGAAATTGGTATCAGTATCACGGCCTCGATAAATTAATGAAATGAATTTTTACTACAACGAACCTTCCTGAAAATGGTACCAAAATTTTCCTAGTCATCTGCTAAGACAAACTTCAACCCAACAAGCGATGTAAATTCAGTTTGGGTGGTTGACACTCCAATATTTCTTTGTTCTGTAACATGTAACTAGAGTTTTTTTTGGTAATAACATGTGATTGGAGTTGAGAAGAGTTACAAATGCTTTATTTTCCCTGGTCACGAGACTTCTGGAGCAAAGATTTCTGGACAAATTTTGTTATGCATAAATGGCTTTAACAAGAACTCCGCAGCAACTGCTAATCTTCAGTTTTTATGATTGCCCACGTAGTATTTCAAGGAACGGCACTCCAAATCAAAATTATATCAACAGAAAATTAACTGGAAATTTGAAAATGCACGTTAAAACAAAGCATTTGTTGAACCATTCATGAACTACTGCTGAATCCAAGACTGTAAGGTCATACACAGATTTGAGACAATTTCATCGTCTTTTTCACAAGTAAACATAACCGCGGACATCTGGCTCCAGGTTAATGCCCATGATTTTGGTGTCTTCATTATCAAGAGCATTTTCCTACAAAACAAGAAAGTTCGCTCAATAACCCACAAATCAAATTTTGTGCCGTTAAAAGAAACAATATTAAAAATGACAAAAAGTTGACGCTAAAATTTACCAATCAGATGAAATAGAAAGGTCATACATAAAGATTGGCTCAGGTAGTCAGGTTTGGGTATACAGGACCATCGTTGGAAGTCCGGAGACCTCTTAACTTGTATATGGCCAGATGTATTTGAAGATCCAGGCCCGTCATTGGACAGATCCCACCCATGGAGGGTTTACACCAGAGGTCAATGTGATCAGAACACCTATTCCATTTCTTTCTTTTTTATATCTCTTTCTCTCATTACTAGAATTCTATTATTATTAATCCAAACATAAAGAAAACATATAGGACTAACCCAAGACCAAAACAAATATGAAAAACTATTTTCTTTTTTTTTTGTTATTTGTTTATTTATTTTCAAAGGGATTGGTCTTGACACCAGAAATTTATTGTTACTAGAAAGATCAGTAGCTCAACAGCTCAAAGGGAACCTATACTCGAAGCTTGTAAGAAAAAAGAGCTTCAATTAGAGGCTTAGAGGACATCCTATATTTTTGAAAAGGCAGGTACTCCTATTTGTCTTTTCACAAGGGATGTTGCCTGTTTTCCCATCATTAGTATCCACCCCATATCTGCTGTTGATCACCGCACACCATAAGCTATCCAGCTATCTATGAAGAACAGCTTCATTTCTATCACCCCTTCATCTTAAGGCTTACTCACATCCTTCCAACTTACAAGATGATTCTTTTTACTTTTTCTGGGATCCAAAAACAAGTCTCAAACTATATCCACAGCCCCGGCCAACATTTTGAAAATCAACATCTCATACCAAGGGACATGTGGTTCCTCTTCCGTGATGCTAGTTTCTTCTCAAACCTCTCCACAACCAATCACTAAATGCTAGGGATCTAGCATTGTCACCAAGGTCTACTATGACCCAACAGACTCCAAAATGAAAGCAACAGATTCCAGTTTACTACCATGCAGGTTTAAACCTACCACACATGATTTGCTAAGATTAACCTTAGAACTGTATCCTTTAGAGAATCTAAGGACCATTCTAAGAAAACAGTGACCATAAAAATTGATGGTATCATTAGCAAACTGAAGGTGGGATTATAGGCTCCTTTTGATTCCAAAACCACAATATCAACTAAATTTTTTTGCTTCATAGCAAGGTACAAAGTATCGATACAGTCTGATATGCCAAATCGGGTGTACCAGACTTTGTATCAACACTCTTATATTTTTATTTTTTTCAAAATATGTTTAGGGTGTCAAAGCCTGGTTACCCCCTGAAACAGGTCTTACCCCAAAACTCTTTTTATTTCACATATTGGTGACCCACCAATACAATACGTATCGGCCAATATGGGCTAATACGTGACGAAATTTGAACCTTGCTTCATAGAGGCTACACAACAGGGGGTAGCCCATCCCCCTCCCTTAACCCCTGCAACCCTGGTGGCAGCAGTATTTGATCCCAGGTTCTACTCCAACAAGTCAGAGACCCTACCAACTGAGACACCATCAGTTGGTACAATATCAACTAAATGGGATACCCAGATTCACTAAACATATGGACATATAAAACCATAGCCTTGGTTTTCTTGAGAATGTGATAGTACAGTCGAAGAGGTAACTTCCCCACTTCTTAGACATTTTGAAGTTCCAAAACCAATTAGCAACATTACAAGGATAAAATTATCTTTTCCCCTTTGGTAGTCGTATGGTATATTCAGGACATATATTAGCAAATTAAAACTAATCCTACTTTGCATGCTCATCATACTCCAAAAAATTAAATAAATATAAAGCTTTTCTTCTAGTTTTAATCATTTTACAATTCCATGGTACACCTTCTATCTGAAGCAACATAGAGTAAACTACATTTTTCTCCGAGAAAATAATTTTAAATGGAAGAATTGGTCTCACCCCAGAGTTGCCTCAACTTCATTGCAAGCTGTGTAATGGATCTCCTCTCTGCTGGATTTAGAAAATCCATTGTGGCTGCCTCCTGTATTGCAGATAAGAATTCTTTCCTTACTTTTGCAGAAGGTACAAGGTAGTTCGGCCCATGGGTATTGCTCAGATCCACCACCTAAAATAATGTAGGGCAGAACAACATAAGCATATTAGGCAGCAGTTAGAGTTTTGCATCATATCATTGTTCATGAGTGTGCAGTCTTAACAGTAAATATGCAAAAGGTAGAAAGACAGAAATTATCCATCTAATTAGCTTAGCCTAATGGGATTTCAAGTGCAGCTGCATGAGCTCACCTGTACATGTCTGTTAAGTACAAAATTTCAAATAAAATAACTAAACAACATGCCAGAAGCTAAAACATAAAGTCTGATCTATCTGGCAGGAAAATCTGAGTTCTTACCTGCTGCAACCACGGGATGATGGAGTCCAGGTATCTTTGATCTAGAAACTGTGCTGACAAGGTGCTAAGGATTTCACTGACTGTCTCATGAGATAAACTTTCCAAAACAGGACCAGTTCGGTCTAGAAGCTCAATCAAAATAAGATCATCACCAGAGCAAAGAGCCTCCATAAATGCAGATTCTAGATCCCCTGCACATAGAAAATCCTTTACACGTTTCCACGAGTTATTATTACTATCTGAACTGTTTTTTCTGTCATCAGCATTACGGGCAAAGGTAGACTGAGAATCTTCAGTTTTTTTTGTTTGACAGCATCCCCCACTTTGAGGCACACGTCGAAAGCTTTGTTGGACACCTTTTGCTATAGGATTTCGAATTATGTTCAATGTGGGATCCCTCCACATCTCTATCCCTTGTTTGATAGAAGCACTTGATCTGTTTTTGGTAGGTACTGCTTCTTCCCAAACTTCCCGGTTCTTCATAGACAAAAGGGAAGGCTGTCTATTATTCATATCAATAGATGGCCTAGGACTACAAGTGGAGAGTCTTGGAGAAGAAGAGACGCTTAAGTTCTTCAAAAGCTTGGAACTTGCCATGTTAGAGTGGTTCCCACTGTAAACAATGTCTTGAGCTATTTTATCTACTGCATGTTCTAATCCAAACACCTTGGACTGCAACATAGACAAGCTCTCCATGGTGTTCCCCATAAACACCTGAATAGTTGATCAAGACAAAAATGTAAACTAAAGACATCAGAATAATTTTAATATAATGAGAAATATGCAAACTTTTTTTTCAAAATTTTTCATAGCTGGAGTAATGGGGATAGAGAACAATTTCATTTTGAACTTGTTAGGACAGTACCACTGAGAACCCCATAACTAAAGAGCCTATTATATATTGTAATCAGTGGTTCTGTGCATTGGCTCTTTGATAGCAATACAGGAAAATTACTTTTATAGCTATAAACCCACAGTTAAAGCAACAAAGTACCAAAGATTGAACAGAACAAAACATTGACATGTTTAACACCATGAGAGAAAAAAAAATTTTGAACCACTACTTAAGCAGAATTTTTCCAAATACAAAAGGAATAAGAACATGGTAAAGACTTAGTGCATTGGTTACACCACTGCTGAATCAGTTTGAGGTCAGAATTAACTAAAAGATGCTAAACAAGACGGTGCAAATTAAGAATCCAACTTAACTGGATGTTAGGGTGAAAAGTATTATATGGTGTGCCTAAAATAGATTACACCTGGATACTTGTACGAGGGTGCCATATTGTGTCAAATACTTCAATTTTTAGTGTTAACTCTGTATCCCATGCTCTGTCCAGCCTCATTAGGTAACATAGGCTAAAATCCATATCCAACTAGTGTTTTAAAAGTGAGAGGTGCAAGAAAAGTGCAAGTCCCTTCTAGTGCCAGAGGCATGGTGCACAAAGAGAGACGTGAGAACAGACAAAGCAACATACAACTTGTTGAAAAAAATAAGAAGTATCAATAAACAAAAAACGAAAATCTGAAATTTAGAAGAGATTAAATATTTTAAAAAATCTTATTGGATCAAATCAAAATATGTAAGCATATAAATGAAATTATGTCAGGTACTTATATATATAAGGGGCTTGCTTTTATGATTTTGGTCGCAGTTCATTAATTTTAGGGTTACGAATCAAAGATCAGTGGTATTGTTGTTGCTTTGGAAATTTTGCTGTCTGATATTTTATCGTAACAATTAAAGTCCTCATATTTCTAAATGGTCTTTGCTTTGTGTTTCTTTTAAAATTCAACAGACCAGTACAATGATGTAAAACATATAAGAATGCATAAAAAAGTGACCACAAAAACAAACTTTTAAAAGGCAAACACCTAAGCCAACACACAAGGCAGCCCAAAGTACATGCCTATTGGAAAGGGTGGTGCCTAGGTTGAAGCAAGGGCAATGTCTCAAATGCACCTTACCTGTGTGCCCAGGTGTGCCTTTTAAAACACTAATTACAATATCATGCACCATATATCTTATATGTCCTAATTCAAACCAAATAGCAATTGTTTATCTAAGAGTATCAAAAGTTAGGCAAATTCATCTTCAATATTCCAGTACTTGGACAAGTTCATTACTAGAATGTTTACAGGAAATTCAGAGTCTTCTCAAGAACATACAATCTAAAGAGGGAATCTATGAACAATTAGACATATCTAAGAAAAGTAAATGACCTGTAAGAGATCAAGTAAATTTGATTGTTTGTTTTCAATCTCCAAGAGTTGCTTGCGAATGAAGGCCATTTCATTTACTGTTTGTGCACAGCATCCATGGACATTGCTCAATTCTGTGATGGTAGAATCCAAACTCTTTCTTTCCTCTATCCTTGCAGAACAATTTCGATGTTCACTAACAATCTTTTCAGCTGCAGGCCGGTGATTTATCCCCACTGGCTGCACCACGCCACCCCCCTCAAGACTATCACGAGCAACTGTAACATGCTTATTCTCAAAGTTTGTAACTAGATTCAACACAGAGGAGCATTCCTGTTTGTCATCAATTGGTGCATAATCATATCCAACATCCTTTCCTCCTGCAGCATCCCCATTTGTTCTTTCAAAAGTCTTAGTTACACAACTACCCTCAGATTCTTCATTGTGCGTATCAGCTAATGAAACAGTATGGGTCTTTGGAACAGCAATTTCAATATGCCAATCATTTGCCTTGGAATGTTGAGAATCTTCTACATTATTTAAACATGTTTTCCTGACAGTTAGGGGAATTCTCTTCTTCAGTGACCTTGCACTAACTTTCTTGAAAGTTACATCTTTCCATCCACCATCACTGGCACTAGTGAGATCACTGTAGTCACCTCCACAGAAATTTTCTGCAATATGAATGAAATACCAGTTAACAAGAGAAACTACCAAACACATATAATGAATAGCAGGCCACAAACCAGTCTTGAACAGAATAAATTGTCAATGCATTGAATAGCAGGCCACAAACCTTTTGTAGAAGATCCTGCCTCTGAAGGTTCAGGAGAATCAGACCCTGGAATACTTTTCCAGTACTGTATGGCCTGTAGCACTGAATCTCTAACTGGTTTCACCTATAGAAAGCACAAACCCCATGCTTATCATTTGTGAGGAAGCAAGTCCTCCAAAAATATAGATAATTTATGCACACTGACCTTGTCAAAACGACAAGATTCAAGAGAACGGATGCATGAAGACTTGAAAGATCCCAAAAAAGAACCACCATTTACAGCAATTCCCCCCAATGCTACAGAAGCAGCTTTGCGTGTTGTCCAATCACTGTTTTTGAGAGCTTCTTGGATGCTAGTCAATGCACTAGAGAATGAATTTTGTGTTGGAGCACCCCCTGCCTGAATATTTGACAGAGAAAATGGCACAAACAAAAACACAATTAGGAAAACCATATATGCAAAACCAAGGCAGACATCCAGTGGACTAGCAGATTTTTTACGGGAACCTAGAAACTGGATGGTGAAGAAAAAAAGGTCATGGAATTGGAAACCTCACGAAGAAAAATTTTAGCATAATATATTCAGTTGATCTTTTCTAGAATACCAAATATAAACCACCATGCTAGTTATAACTAGGAGGATGGCTAAACAATAATCTGAAATTTTCTTAATTTATTTTCTTGTTATAATTGGGGCAACAGGAAAAATAGATTTATGGGATAAACTGTTCAAGATAGAAACCTGATATCTGCACAATTAACATTGACAGGTCTTGTCAGTGAACCTGTAGGACTAAATTCCTTTTAGAAGACAAAGTTCCTCAATAATTCTCAACTCTGAGATGATATCTCTTATTTTCTATAGGTAGAAGTGTCCAGCACACCAGAAACCTATAAGTGTCCAACATATCATAGGGCAATACCAAAGATGTGGAAAAGAAATAGCAAAGAAAAATCATATCTCAGACTTTAGTTATTAAGATGAAAGTACGAGACACCTACCTATGGATGGATAAGAAAAAACCACATGCTATTAGATCCACCAAAATCTAAACCTATAGCACCATTCATTTTAATGTCCAAAGCATGAAGAAAGCATGACAATTTTGTCCACATTCACCTGCAATATGCTTCTAATCAGTTCAATGACCGCTGGTTTTGCCATGAAGTGTGGATTCTTAAGCAATTTAATAACTCGAGGCAGCATACGCAGCAAAATGGAGACTGGAGGATCATTTGAATTGTCAATCACCCTGGCCAAACATAATGCAGAACCAAACTGCACCTGTCTATTCTGTTCACCCAGGGCTTCAAAAAGAGGCTTCACTAGAACAACAAAAAACCCATCACTTTCTCCCCCACAGCTGCTTACTTTTGAAGCCAAGACACTCATTGTTTCCACACAGGCATCCCTCACAACAGAATCTGGATCCTTGAGCCTTTTAACAATGCTAGTCACCATCTTTCCAAGGTGTGGTGCAAGAAGCCCCTCATGAAACCTCACTAGTGTACCCAAAATCCTAATACATTCTTTCCTAACTGTGCTCTTTTGCTCCGAATCAGTGTCAATGATGCAAGAAAGAAATGGCGCAATCCCTTCTGGAGTTAAACCTTCAGCAATTTTCTCCAATTCCTCAACCCCAATCTGGTAAGTATCCCGATCTGCAAGCTTGTTCAACGCAAGAACCACCCGATGCTTGAGCTCAAAAATTGCTTGCTGTGTGCCAGCCCTGCTGGGTCCTTTGGCTTTCAAATTTGTATGAGCCTTCATCTTACACACCCTTACAACAACATCTGCCTATAGTTTCAAATAAACAATGAGATGCAAATCTAATGCCAACCACAAACCAGCTTTCAAGTTTCAATTCGAAACCTCCACCTAGAACTTCGATTTTAGATCCTATACCAGGAAGGTGGGATCAATTTGCTTTAAAGATTACTCTGTTCAACCATTAAAAGACCAATAAAGGCTCTTTTAAAGAGCCAATTGATGGTCAAGCTCATACCAATCATAGGTGGAATTACTTATGGTTTCCTAGTTAGCACGATTAGAAACCTGGAAAACCACCACAAAAATCAAAGTTAATGTCATCAAATCTTAAGTCTCATACTACAAAATATGAAACCACTTCAAGTACCTACAGACAAAGATAACGAGAATATACAGAAATAAGACAGAATATATCTCAAAAGCATTTCAAAATGCAAAAATTAGTACCAGAATGGTAAAGTTTACATTCCACTGTGGCAATCACTCTTACAAAAGAAAAGCAGATGTCTCATCACTGGTAAGCACAATGAACTAACCTATTTTTTTTCCTTAATTTTTTTCTTCTGTATAATTGTCATTGTTAATGAACTAACCTAATTTAGATAAAGATATTAACATAAATCCCTGCCAATGAAAGCGTCAAAAACTCACAAACGCCAGCTTCTTGGAAACTCAAAGCATGATGGAATTCATACGAATCTTAGGCACAGACACAGTGATCAAAACCCAAAGAAACCTATGTGCACTGCAAGAACAGAAAGCACCATGCAAGGAGGTACTGGAACGATAAATCAGGAAAGCGCCGGGAAAAAAAAAGAACTGTCCTTGAAGAGCCGAGATGCAAAAGTTTGAACTAGTGAGGGATAACTAAATAAAATCTTTTCAGGAAAATATATATATATATATATATATATGACCCTTCATGCTCAAGTGAACCAGAAGCAACGAAAAAAAAAAAAGAAAATAAAATTTCAAAAACAAAAACATCAACATGAAGTTGGAAACGGAAGAAAAGCAGAATAAAAAAATCGCAGAAACAACAGATAAAAACCAGATCTTCAAAACGCAACACACCACGCGAACATTCAAAAATAATAATAGACTCAACAACTTACATTACTCCAACAAGGCACAGTGCTTTAGTGAAACTGTTCTCTAATCCACTCCAACAAACTCCAAGAAGCCCTAAAAATCGCAATGACGAACATAAAACTGCTTTAAACATAGAAACCAGAGCTCAAAAGCTTGGATCGAACGACCAAATATCTTTCCGTACAAATCGTGAAATTAAATTCAAATCTCCATTTTTATCTTCTCTCCCCTCTTACCGAGTTAAAATAAAAGAAATGCAGAAAAAATGAATCTCAGTAAGAGTCGAGACGAGCTTCGAGGAAATCTTACCCGTAAAAATTCTCAGAGAGGACGAGCGTTTGAAATCTTCTCTCGAGGGTTTTTTTAATTTTTTCAATGAGCTAATAACTTGATGTTTTCGCGCTCTCTCTTCGGTTTCGAATTGGGTCGCATAGGGAGAGTTTCTCGTGGGACCCACATCTGGAGTTGGAGTAAATATGTATCGTTGGATGAAAGCCAGGTGGGGGCCGTATAGAGTTTCTGGTGGACATGATCCCGAGCTACGGAGGCTTTAATAAGACACTGATCAGGTAGGGCAGCGCAGGCTTTGGATTTAGCTCACGGACCATCCGTGACAGGGATATGCTGCTAAACCGAATAATGCGGACAAGAACATGGACCCCACAGTCTTGAGGGATTTGGATTTTTTTGTTGCACAGTTGTCCTATTCTGATTGATTCTTCGAAAACTATAGTCTTGGAACAATGGAACTCATGTCCGATTTTTAGCTACGGGTGCAACTCGATCGGATTGGGTCGGGTTGAAGGTCAATCTTAGGCCCAACCCGAACTTAATCCAACACAACTCGGGTTTGGGTTTGGGCGAATTGGTGAATAATAGATGAGTGAAAGAATTTATGTATATATTTTTGTAGGGAAAATTTATGATATGAAAAAGATATGATATAGAAAGAGTTTTGACCAATTAAAGCCCACCCATGAATTTTGATAAATAACACCTGATTCACTACTATGTTTATGATTTCAGCTTATTGATCAGTTGTTTTTCAGATATCATATCTTTTTCATATCATAGTCGAACCCATTTTTGTATGGTCGTTGGAGATATACATGTTTTACTTACAAGTATGTACATATTAATAATAATAATATGAAAACACACAAAATTTAAAAAAAATACAAAAAAGTTGCAAAAAGACATTTAAGCACATCTCCAATATCATATATTTATCATATTAAACAAAAATATGTTACAAATAAGAATAATTTTATAAACATAGAAATATAAAAAAAAAATTGTAGAAAACTTTAGAAACACATTATTCACAATTATCATCATCATAAATAATTGCCATGTGCTAGCACATGCACACTTACTAGTTTCTATAAATCGCCTTATCCTCCACCATTCTCATCATACCAATTTAGCAATTCTCTTCTCATACTCTCTCAGTCTCTAATATACTCTCAATACTCTCTCTTTTACTCTCCAATTCTCAAGTATAGACTTTATTAAAGTTTCTAAAGTTGCTTAAGTATCTCAAGTTAGCAATTTGGAATGCTTGAAAGCTTCAACCATTAAAATTAAGTTGAGATTCTAAACCGGCAATTTTGGTAAGTGCAATTAAATTAATTTTTATTTTTATAATTAAAAAAATGGTCGGTTCCTTCCAAAACCAATTCCCCAACACGTTCAATGTTGATGATATTGTTCAATAGCAACATGATAGTATTAACACCGACATTGATGCTATTGAAATTGCCAGAGTTCCAACCCCTAACACTACTACTAGGGAAAAGAAAAAGATGGGCACTAAGTAGATTAAGTCAATTTGGAAAATATTTAAAAATAGAGGAGGTTTGAGGGGAAGGGAAAAAGTGTCATTTGCTAAAAATGTAGGAGTAACCTTACCTATAGCAAGGGTGATACTGGCTACTTGGACAGATATTTACTCACCCATGAGAATAAGAATAAGGAAAAGAAAAATCACAAACACAAATTGAGCGTGGGGGTTTTGGTACTTTTAAATATTCTCAAGAAAAATTGAGGCAAGAATTAGCAAAATATATTGTACATGTTGAACAACCATTTTTATTAGTTAAAGATACTAAACTTGAAATTTTCTTTCTGTAAAGCATAGATGCTTTGAAAATTTTTTATTCATATAAATAAAGTTTAATTTCTATTTTATCAAATATTAATTCTAAAGTTTTAATTACTTATGATATTTGGACCTCTAAATTTAAGTTAAATTTGTGTTACTAGTCATTTTATTGATGAAAATTGGCTTTTGCAAAACAAAATTTTAATTTTCACTAGGCTTGAATGGCCACATACATACTGACCTAGCTATTGTTGCAAGTATTTTAAATACTTTACATTCATATGAAATTGAAAATAATTTTTTCTATTAGTTTTGATAATGGCATAATGCTAGTAATAATGATTCTACAATCAATATTTTAATATCTCAATTAAAACCATGTTTAAATGGTAAATTATTTCATACTATATGTGCATGTCACATCTTAAATTTATGTATCCAGAATATATTATTTCTCATCATATTTCTAAAATTAGAAATTGTATTATATGTATTAAAAGTTTTAGAGCAAGAAAACATGAATTTAAATATTTATTTTAAAATTATAGTTTAAAATATAAACATTTTAGATTAGATCTTCAACATAGATGGAATTTTACATATTTTATGTTAGAAAGTTGTATTTTCTACAAACAAATTCTTACTAATTTTTATAATGCAAAAATGCCACAAGATATTATACTTGAGGAAGATCGAGAAATGACAATTTGTATAAAAGATTTCTTACAAAATTTTTTTATGCAATTAATGATTTTTAGGTGTTTATTATCCAACTAGTTGTATTTTAGTTAATCAATCATTTATAATTAGTGGATGTTTTGCAAAATATAGAAGAAATCGACAATTTAAAAGTATTGTTGGAGTAATGGAAAATAAACTTAAAAATATTGGGAGAATAATTTTCCTCTTTATTGTTTAGCTACAATATTAGATCCTAGAATTGGGAAAGATGGTTTGGATGTTTTGCTTGAATCATATAAATATTGAAATTGGAAATCAAAAAGAAAAAATGAATAATTTATTATTTGAAATGTGTAGTTTATATAATCATAAATGATAGAGCATAAAAATCTGCAACTTGTACAAGTGCAACTTCCACTTTTGAAGCAACTAGTTCCAGTAGTGGAAAAAGAAGAGTTTGGTCTTTAATAAGTAGGAGGCAAAAATTTGTTGCCACTTCATCAACAAGTTCATTTACTAAACATAATTTTTATTTATAAGCAAATTTTTCTAGTTTAAACAATTCATTTGATTCAAAGGAAATGAACAATTTTGATATTTTAGCCTGGTGAAGTGGACATGAAAAAAATTATCCAGCCCTTGCCACCATGGCACATGATCTATTAACCCCTCTAGTGTCTGCAATTCCATCGGAGTCTTGTTTTAGTGCAAGTACTAAGATGTTAGACAACAAGAGAAGCTGCATAAAGATAAAAATTTGGAAATGTGCATTTACTTCAAATATTGGCTTGATGCTGAGAATCGACTACAAGACAAAAAAGGGCATGACACTACACCTGATGTAGATGATGTGAAGTCAAAGAGATGGAGATGTAGGTGGAACTTGAAGAAAAATGGTGAAGTCAATATTATTTTTGTATACTCAATAATTTTGTAGCATTTTTTAAAATTATTTAAAATTTTGTTTTTTAGTTTTATTTAAACTATTTATTATTTTCCAACAATGAAATTTTTTATTTTCAATTTGTAATTGTATTACATTTTTTTATATTTTATTACATTTTGTTAATTATTTTTGACCATTATATTGTTCAAATTTAAAAGAAATAAAATTCATATTTTTTACAATTTGTTGTCCATTTTGTATTTTGTTAAGTATTTTTTTTTATTTCTTTATTAGAATTTTTATTTTTCCAATTTGTTCCCAAAGGAAAGTTAAGTATTTAAGTTTTACTTAGAAAAAAAAATCAAAATGTCAAAAAAAAGTCTGGCCCAATTCAGCCCAAGCCCACAGCACGGGCCCATGCGAGCTTGGGCAATGCTGTGCCGACCCCCCAAATTATCTCAAGGGAAAGATGCACGGCCTGGCTCGGCCCACGATTCAGCACAACACAGCTCGCTCAACACCTCTACCCAAGCCCAACTGGCACTAGAATTTGATGCATTTTGAATTGGTCTCAAACCTAAGTCAAGCTTGATTTAATCAATCAGCCTAAACTAAAACTTGACATAAATGTATGTGTTTTATATACAGGTATTTATGTGTGCAAGTTAATGATTATATATTCATGCAATATATGTATATAGTCAAACTGGATTGAGCAACTTGAAGGCTAAACCTAAGCCTAACCCAAAAAATAAAATAAAATAAAGCTCAAAATTTTGGACCCAACCCCAACCCTAGGTCTAAAAATTGAATCCTAACACATAAAATTATGGGTTGAATCGGCTAGGCTCAGGTTGGGCTGTCCAAATTGCACCCGTATTAAAGTTCAACTATAAACCAGAAAAACTTATAACCAACCAACCAATATCACAAAATAACCAATCAAGTGCGATCTGTCGAAATTCACATGCAAGGGGTTTGACTAGTCAAAACCCTTTCAATATCATGTATGTCTTTTAGGCAACAAAGTTTTTTTCTTTTTTTTTCCATAATCATCATCTAAGCATGATCCAATCATTTGGGTTCAGCTAAAATAAATTTGGAGTACGATTACAAATTTCAGAGGAGGTAGAGAATTAAACCCAAAGAATTGGAGGCTATGTAGTATGAGGCGGGCCTCACATGCACCCATTATGTCCCCCTCCCCCACTTAATTACCTCAAGTCTTTGAAAAGAAAAAAAAAATGTTTTATATTGTTTATTTTTTGCTTTTCTTCTATGTTAACATTGCTTTCAAACAATCTTTTGAAAGTAAAAGCACAAAAAGTTTTTGGTTACGATGTATTACATTACAACATGGAACATGATAAATTCTACATACAAACCCATTATTGCTTGAAAATTGTAAAGTATAAGTGTGAAATGTCATATACTTTGTTTATCTTGCCCACGTGCTAGATCCACATGTTTTGGAAGACTTTATAATTGATATATGACATCAAAGTAGCAATGTGAAAACAACCAAACCAAAGTTATGTCATATGGTACAAATTAATGCATGTATCACAACATATACTTTACCATGTATCCTATGTTTTTCCACGTGTTACATTTTTCCATTTGTTATGTACCATATGGCATATATTTTGTCATATAATATGTTAATGAACATCTAACATGACATATACTTTGTCATGTATGTCACAAATTTTGTCACATTATTTGTGCTTTAACATGTTTATATCACACATGTGTGCCTTACCATGTTATGCAAAAAGTTTATTTGGTCACAAGCACACAACTATAAGCATGAAGAAGCCCAAGTTAGGTGACATGGTATTTTGATTCATTTTATTTAATTGGTTTTTTGTTGTCCATGTTCGGTTTTTGAATGGCCAATTCTGATTCCTTGCTTTGGTTTATGGAGTTCTCCATAATTGGCTTTTTGTTAGCCAATTCTATTATAGTAATTTTATTGGCATTTTTAATTATCTATTTGTTTGAGATGATTGGATTTTTAGTTCAGCGATTGTGATTAACCTTTTTTATGGTTAAATTCGATTCTTTAACATGATACGTGTTGGTTTTTTGTTGGCCAATTTCAGTTTGATGATTACTAGATCATGACTTGGTCTTTAAGAGTCCTCTACAAAATTTTAAGTTTCATGGCTACTACTTTAATAGTACACTAATTTTCATAGAGATTGCTTCAACATCCTTATTTGCAAATTCAAGCTAGTTTCTCCACCTTGGTTTGAGGGAGTGTACAATAAGATATATTGTGTTTGGTTATATTACAAGAAAGGTATTTGAGGTTACATAAATATATTTGTAATATCGATAAAATTTGAAGATTTATATATATTTATGGGAGGAAGAGAGGTCTGTTTCAAATATGATATAATTGGGCCTTTTATTTATTTAAGCTGTTGGTTTTGTGGAATTAGGGTTGAGTGAGAGTGTATTTTATTGTGAGTCTATAAAGAGGTCAGTCATGTATCTCTTGTTTCATAGTGGACATTTTTCTCTCTTTTCCCGTGGATATAGGCTACTAAGGAAAATCATGTTAAATTTTGGTTTCTTTCTATTTTTTCTCTTGATTTACCATTCTCTTTCTTGTTAGTTGATACATTTTTCATCTTTCATTTTTTTCTTCAATTTTTCATCTTTCATTCAAGGAGGTATTAAATATGCTTCCTTTTTTGGTGTGAGAAAAAAATAATAAAATAGTCCAAGAATAATTATAGGATGCCGATTACCTTGCACATTAACAAATGGAATGGTTTCAAATAGATTTCTCTACGTAATGGAACAACTCTGGGTAAAAAACAATCCTTTCTATTTAAAAGCTCATTAAGCTTAGTTAAGTGACTTTTGTATATTATTTTTGTTAATTTATTATGAAAATTGTTTAGAATTTTAAGCAAATAAAGTTTTGTTGATCTGAAATTGTATATCCTCCAAACAACCAACCTTGATCAATGGTCAATGCACTACTTGATTGTTGGCTTGTTATAGGCTGCGTTTGTTTTTGGCATAAACTTCATTGATGGAGTTCACCACCGATGGATTTAAAATTAGTTAACCGTTGGAACTTTTTTTAAAGTGTGACAATTGATTATTGAAGTAAAATTTCATCGGTGCAAAACCTTACACTAAAAACAAACGTGTGAAAATATGGACTGGGAGTGGAGTTTTACACCAGTCCATATTTACACTGAAAAAACATGAACAAATACAAACTGGCAGTGGATTACATTGATTTGCATTTACACCGCAAACAAATGCAGCCATAGGAAAAAAGTTAAATAGTATGTAAAAAAGGAAAAAGGGAAACATAACAATGGAATTAGGAGATGGAACATATTCTCCTTGATAACAACAATACCAGGCTTGCAATTAGAGGTTTTAACAGAAGTTAGTAAAAGCTTTGAGAGGGATTATCAAAATTAAAAAAATAAAAAAGTGAAAGAAAGAAAACATAAAAGAGAATTTGAGCTTCGAGACAAGAAGGTCAATTAGAGGACATGAAGCCCCTCTTCCCTAGTGCAAGCAAAGCTGACCTAATCGCAAATTTAAAAGGTGGAGGAGATAGGAAATTTCAAGTTTTATGGTTGTGAAATTTGATTTTGTCAAAAAAAAAAAATCATAAGGAATTAGTCTCATTTTTTGTTATTTGATGAGAATAGGGAAGGGCTAAAGTCGTTTTAGAGATGTATATAAGAGATGGATCAAGAACCAATGGCCAATGCTTTTAATGCCATCTAAAGACTTCTCTTGCTGGTAATTTCAATTGGTCAATGCCAAAGATGGTATGGAGAAAATGAGAGAGAGAGAGAGAGAGAGAGAGAGAGGGAAGGGGGTTGCCTCTGGTCGGTAGTTAGGAGGAAGAAAAATGTTGGAAGGGTTAGAATCCATCGTATGGATGGCTAAACCATGTTAGATGGCTGAGTGGAATTTCAAAAGTTTTTATCCCTTTTAGGAACTAATTTTCCAATGTTTTGAAAAATTACATTTTAAAGATCGATCTTACACTGAAACCGGATCAGATTTGAAACCAAAACAAAAAGAAAGGTTGTACCTGATATGAATATCACAAGCACAGATCCCAAGGTGGAAATTCATGCCCAAATCTATAAATATAGTCCCTATCATAAACATTAATCTCAACATACAAGCATGACTCATATAATCCCTCTTATGTCTTCATTTTCTCTTTTAAAGTCTATAATTACTCTTTTCTAATAAAATCATTCCTAATTCACCCTCTCCTTCTTCAATAACAATGTTTGTAACATCTACCCTCTCCCATTAAATCCCTTATTTTCTCTTAAATATCTTCAAATCCCTTTTAACCCTTTAATAAAATATTGGTAAAAAATAGATGGATTGTATGGGGTTAAGTGCCAATCCAAGACAAACCTAGGGATGCAAATGGCTTGGATTGGGTTTGAATCAAGGTATATCCAAATTTGATCCGATAATATAAATCTTGTATTTGATTCAATCAGATTAATCCGAATTTGAATTTGTTAAGGATGTTGATATCCAAATCTGATCTGGTCTGATTTAATTTCCATAGGACTGTAAAATTTAACAAATTATTAACAGAGAAAAAAACAAAACAGTCTGTATAAGGAAAAAAAAACACAAGCATTTTTTTTCATTAATTCTTGTCATATATATTTTAAACAAAATAGAGGTATACACGTCTCTTTACACTACAACATAAATAATATAAAAATCAAATTTCAAAAAAGCAATATAAACATGAATTAGTAGGGATGATCCAAATTCAATCTGATTTTTAAATAGACCATATTCTTTGATATGGTCCAATTCAAAAATCCAGAAATGAGAATCCGACAAAATAGGATTAGATTCAAATTCGAATCAGGCCATAGACCTTGACCTGAAACCAAGCCCATGTCAAAACCCAAACCTAACTAGGTTTCTATTCAACCCCATGTATTTGCATGGATTCACTTGTTATGAATTATGATATAGTAGTCATCATCTATATATTTATTGTTTTTTTTGTAGGAAAATTTTTCCTTCAAATTTTTTTTTTTGTAATATTGAATCTTTTGATAAACCATAATAATCTATATGAATCCCCCAACTACATTGATAAGAAGCTATGACATATCTTATTGCTTAAGTTATTTTTCAAGTAAAGGCCACATTGTAACCTTTGAAGACCATATGACTTCCTCTATCAAAGCAATAGCAGCATAACTGGTTGCAACTCTCGGCTCGTTGATGAATGACAAGTAAATATAATGGGAAACGGTCAATATCTTAATTATTTGTTATTCAGATTTAAATTTCAAATAAAATGAATAAGTAATATGCTTAATGACTTTTGCTTCACTTTGCACCTTTTCTAGGTATCCATTACTAGTTTCCTTTTTACCTATAGATTTTACTATAGCAACCGATAGATTTGTTAAATAGTTAACAACGTCTAATAATGACTAATCATGAATAACATCATAACGTCTCTATTGACATATCCATAGAGATCCCCCGCAAGGGGCCGCCCGCTAATGTCTCAGTACATTCCTGTCGTGTATTGAAAACATCTTTCGATGATAGTATTAAAATCAATGATGTCATCATCGGAATGTGCTATGGGACTTTGTGGGGCGGCCTCTTGTGGGGAGGAGATTTGAACTCATCCATATATCATTTTTGGTCTAACCATTTAACAAAGAATACCGTTATTCCATTGCGTTTGTCACCAAAACATAAGGTCCATTTAATTTGTAGGAATAGGGGTTTAAAATTAGAAATAGGAATAGAGTAATAGACCATTCCAGTTTCAACCATTTGATTGACTACAATCAGAATACCATTCCCATTCCTGGTAAAATGACATTCTCCCATGTGAGAAAATGGCCATTCCCTTCCTCCCAGTCCCTTGAGAATGAGAATTCACTCAGCAGTCAAGCTGATTCTAATTCCAACTCCTATCTGCGCCAAACTGCGAACTAAACTGACCCATAAATTAGCATTTTGATGACAGATCCTGAATATTCAAAGAATTAAACGTCAAGACATGTAAAATCCACTTTTACTTGTAGTTTTTTCACATCTAAAAATCTTTCAATAATAATAATAATAATAATAATAAAAACAATAGAGAGATTGTGTTCCCAGGAACCTATTTTGTCTTCATATCAACTTTGCTAGCACCAAGCAGTGCCAAATGACAATACTCAATTGGTTTCCCTGTCTTTCCCTTCCTTTCCTTACCTTTTCCTTCAAACCAAACATAGCCTAAAAGCCACAAGTGTCAAGCTATTAGAATCCTGAATAAACTAGCATTAATGTTCCTCTAGTATTTTTCTTCCAATACCAAACTACGGTACAATTGGATAACTCTTTACCATCTTTCTACAAATTCCTCCTACAACCCTCGTGGGAAATTTGTCATCAAAAGGTATGTAGGGATCAAATCCCGCTGCCACCAGGGTTGGGGGATGGGCTACCCCTCATCCCCATAAAAAAAAAAAAAAAAACCGAAAAGAAATGTCCATGACTACCTTGTCTCCTACGTATGGCTGAATCCTGATATTCAGCATATCCAATGAAGAGCAAAAATGCCTAATTTGAGCCAAGGCCCAAAACCAGTGCATAATCTTTGCATTAACAGTGTTCTTAATCCACGGTCATGGCTTCAGAACCACCGTTAATATCCTCCAAGCTGATCTTCTGCTCTTCCATAGCAATCCTCTGTTCCTCGGCCAAACTCTTCTGTTCTTCCTCTATATTGTTCTGCAACTCATCCACCTGAACAGAAAACAGGAGATAAAGCATAAACACCAAAACTCAAAACTTTTCACGATACTCTTTTCTCTGATAAACTTTACAAGATTGAATCTATCATAAATGAAAGGGACAACTGAATAAGGACCAAGGCCATATTTGAGAGTGATTATGTTAAAAAATAAATGCTTAAAAACAAGTGTTTATTCAAATAAGCACTTATTTGCATTTGGCACCCAGCTTTTTCAAGTTCTTATTTAAAAAAAAAAATAGACGCTTATTTCATGTTGGGCATTTGGTAGTCTTTTTCTCCAATAAGCACTTTTGACTATTTTATCCTTCATTTTCTTTCAAGTTTTCAAAATATACCCTGTGGGAGGTGGGCTCTCTCTCTCTTAAAACAACAATGAAACAAAGTATGGATCAAACACAGTGAATGTGGAGATGAGGAGGATGCCTATTTCATCTAATTGAAGCACATTCAGAACCAATCAATGTTGTGGCTGTGGGAGATGACGGTGTCCTCTACACCGCTTCTGATGATGAAACCATCAGACTGGCGACGGTATTTCTGTAGCAGTGGTCTACCACACTCCCTCACTGTAATCCTCCTAGCCAAGAAATCCTAGTGAAGGCACTGGCTCTGACCACAGATGGTGGGTGCAGATGGGTATATCCGCTATTGGCTCACAGGCTGGCTGTCGGGCCAACTACAATATGATGCCACCAACCCAACGGCAAAAAATGGAACAGGGGAGGACAAATCCGTTCAGGCCTGGATTGCCTGGAATGAAGGAAGAAGAACAAATGAGAAAGAAAAAAAAAAAAAAAAAAAAGAGATAGGAGAGGAAGAGAAGAAAATGCAAGGAAAGAAAATGATGGAAGGGAGAAAGGAGAAAGCCAAGGAGGAGCAGTTGCTGGTTGCTGAGGGACAGCTTCTCCCTCCCAGGTGGACTTAATTCTTGGGATCTTATCTTGGTTTGAGGTGGTCTCTGGCCTTAAAGTCAAATCATTCCAGTGGGTCAGGTATCCAACTTAGCTGATAGTGTGGAGATCTTGGCATGTCAGATTGAGTCCCTTCCAGTTAAATATTTGGGTCTTCCTCTGGGGGCGCGTTGTGGGCCATCTTCAATTTGGGACCTGGTTATTGAAAGAATGGAGAGAAATTTGGCATCTTGGAAGGCAAAATACTTTTCTTTTGGGGTAAGGTGACTTTGATTAAGAGCACACTATCTAATTTACCTACCTATTTCCTCTCCTTTTCCCTATTCCTAACAAAGTTGCAAGAAAGCTTGAAAAACATCAAAGGAATTTTCTTTGGAGGGGTTGGGAAGAGGAGAAAAAAATTCATCTTGTTAGGTGGGATCAAGTCTGCCTCCCTAAGGATGAAGGTGGTTTAGGCATAAGGAAGTTGAAAACTTTTAATTCTGCCCTTCCCTGTAAGTGGATTTGGAGATTTGTGGCTGAAAATGATGCCTGGTGGAGATCTCTCATTGCTGGTATGGAGTGGAGTGGAGCAACTGGAGAACTAGGGACCCTCTTCCCAGTTGGGGAAATTCTCCGTGGAAAGGGATAATGAAGAACTTCTCTGTTCTTGCTGATGGAATCTCAATTAAGGTCAGCAATGGTAGTAGAACCAAGTTTTGGAAGGATTCTTGGTGCTTGGATGGCCTCCTTGCCGAATCTTTTCCTCTCCTCTTTCAGTGTGCATCTAACCAAGAGGCTTCTATAACTGAGTGTTGCAGCTTATCTGGAGATTCAGTTTTTTGGTCCCCTACCTTTAGAAGGAACCTTTTCGACTGGGAGCTGGAAGAGATAATGAACATGTTAACTATTCTTCAGACTCAAGAGGTTGATTTCTGCTCAGAAGATAAGTGGTATTGGAAGTGGAATCCAGATGGTGTTTTCTCTGTCAAGTCTTTGGCTTCCAAGCTTTGTAGAATGGGTGCTACTGATTTCCCTTGTCATCAGGTGTGGAGTCCCATGGTTCTGAATAAATGTCTGGCTAGAGCTAATCTTGTGAGAAGGGGCATTCAGCTTTTGGACCTTTCATGTAGTCTATGTGGGAACAATTCTGAAACTAATGATCATTTGTGCATTCACTGCCCGTTTTCTTCTCAGCTGTGGAATCACTTCTTCAGCTCTATGAACTTAAGATGGGTTATGCCAAGTTCGGTAAAGGAGCTTTTGTGTTGCTGGAATTTTAATGGGCTTAACAAGAAAGAAAGATAGTGTGGAATACTATTCCTAGTGCTGTCTTATGGTCCATCTGGTCTGAGAGGAATAGTAGGCTTTTCTGTAATAAGGCTTTAAATCTTGAACAGGTTATCCAGAAAGCTGTGGGCAAATTAATCTCTTGGGTGTCAGTCTCTGAGGAGCTCAGAAATTGTAATTTGTCTGTTGCTTTTCATTCCAGTTCATGGTGGAATATGTAATTGCTGAATTGTTCAGTTGGCCTTTCTGGGACTGATCTCAGCTTGTTTGTGTAGCTTTTGATTCAATAAATATTACATTACCTTTTTCCAAAAAGAAACATTTGAAGGGCATAAATGGAATTGTAAAAACTAAATGGAGACAGTTTTGGTAGAAAAAAATTGAATAAGTGTTTATTGTTTAAGCACTTACAAGAAAGCTGGAAATTTGGGCTTAAAAAATAAGCACTTATTTCAGGCTTATTTCCCAAACACCAATAAGTGCTTAATGGTGTGGTCCCAACCCAAATAAGCACTTATTTTTAAGCACTCCCAAACATAGCCTAAGAATAATGCAAGTCACTTGTGGATAGCAGCCATATTCAACCTAGAAAGAACATATGCAAAGCAATACAACATACAACCACAAAAGAAGCTTCAAACCTGATCCCATTGAGTTTCCGTAGGAGAATTCCCAAATGTTGTATTTTTTAGACATTGTGAATAGGAAATATGCATCTCCTGTTAGTTCTTTTTTACCCAAAGAAAGATTTAGTGGACTGGCAGCTAAACCATTGTTTTCCTCTTTTGTTGATGTGGCAGTAAGCATTGGGCTCTCATTAAGCTATATCATTGCAAGTGAATTTAGCAATCCAAAATATCATTGTGGCAAGCAATGCAATCAACATTATCTCCTTTATGGTAAAACTCACCACATCAATGCCATAATTATGCCCCATTTATTCTCAATTTGAGGACCATTTTTTTAACAAAAAATAATGAAGATGATCAAAAAACATGATTTGTGATTTTTTTATAGAAAATCAAAGAAGCATTCACTAAAATTAAAATAAGCACAATGACAGATAGGGTAATGAGCTAGAACCCCATATCCAGTGTTTTAAAAGAGCAAGGCTCAGTTTGGAAGGAGTACAAATACAAATATGTAGAGTGCAAAACCTCTGCATTTTGTATTATTTTGTATGTATTTGTACTGTACATATTTGTATTTGTATTCCTTCCAAACTGAGCCCAAGGAACAAAAAGTGCAAGGGCCAATTTGCACCCAAGGTGTGACACGTGAGGCACACACCTTTTCAAAGTTTGGTGAAAAAATGCAAAAAAAAAAGAAAACAAATGCAAAAAATGCCCAAAAAAATGTAAAAAATAAAAATATTAAACATAATATTAAAAATACAAACTTAAAATTTAAAATAAATGTTTTAAAAACCTATTATCCAAAATTAAAATACATAAACATAACATGAACAACATATTCAAATATAAATTTAAAAATAAGTCAAATATATAAAACATATCCAAGCATGCAAGAACTTCAATCTCCTTTTTTTTCAACTGCATTACTTCAAATAGCTGATGTGGTTTAAAACATTTTGCATTCCTGATTCTACAAGTCACCTTTGTACTAAGCCTCCGGCCCAGCAACTAGGTTCAAAAAAGAGCAAAAAATATAAAAGGCACATGCCTGTGCTGAAGCACAAAGTGCACCAGGTGCACACCTAGGCACATTAGGCACACCTTTTGAAAGTGCTGTGCCTGGGGCCCAGGTAATGCACCTTGCCTTTTAAATCACTGTCCATATCATAATCAACACCAGAATTAAACTAGTTCTTCATAAACTTACTCAAGCTACAGCATTGACAGTTCAAGAGCAAAAACTCAAAAAAGAGGATCTATCTACCCCTGCAAATTCTATGACAAATTGAGAACAGTATCCATTCATTTTGGTGAAGTACTCATTGTCTATCTCATTTTGGTGATATATATATGGGTTCATGTCAAAATAGGTTGGTACATAACCATTAAATTCAGAATCAGAAAAATCAGATGCATATTTGGTGGATTTGACAACACATTTTTTTGATAATTTAGATTTGATAACACATTACCATCCCATAGCAGTGTCATGTCAAGAGGGGTATTTGGGATAAAGTACAGGAAAGAGAAACTACATAGAGACAAGAAAACATCCAATAACATACATATTACTCAGTGAAGATAGTCACTTAATAACAGACTGCAAAATCCATGGATTGGGAAACATGCTAGAGAAGACTGTTTTACAGTTCAGGCTTCTATATGACTATGAAATGTTTGCATAAGTTACATTCCATGAAAAATAGATTTTGCAGGATGAATGGAACAATTTGCTTTAATAAAGCTAGAAAATAAGTTTCAGAAACAGCAAAGCAAAATGGACACGAATTAAGATATGAAAGGGCATAACTGCCTAACTCACTTGGGTCCAAGGCCCTTGGAACCACATGGCAGGATTTTGTTACTATCTGTCTATTTATCTATAAGGATAAACAACCCTGATGAGAAGAAAACTAGTTAAGAAAATAATAATAACCTTCAATCACGAGGAAAAGTATATTGATTTCCACCAGGGTCACCACTAGCATATTTAAGTAAAATGGTTTTGCAACCGTGAGGACATAAAGTCACCCCATGCTTAGACAAACAGATGCAGACATGCATGCTACCAAACAAATACCAAATGAACACATATCACCAAGACTACCGTAGTATATGATTTTCTGTCTTTAAGCCTCCACGGAATAAAAATCTGCATCCACAGTGAAGCAAAACAAAACTAACTGATATGTGAAGAGCTGAACTTACAACATGCAACAAAAGAGCAAACTGTTTCTTGCGAAGCTCCAAGGTTCTTGAAGCAGCAGTACTTTCAGCCTCCAATAATGCAATCTCTTTCTCGAGATCTGTGATAAGCTTCTGAGTCTCTGACCGTGCAGGCTGCATAGCAACCAATTTCCTGATTGCTTCACATTCCTCTTTGTGTTGTCTTTCAATTTTACTCTCTTCAAGTTGTTTCTTCAGATCTTCAATATCAGACTGTGTTTGCAAGATCTGGCGTTGGATCTCTCCTTGGAGCTCATTGAAGTTCTCCTTCTCTCTAAGGTTAGCATCAATTACCGCCTTACTTTTGAGGAGTGGGAGCTCAAAGGTGGTCATCTCCTGTAAAAATGCTTTGTACAACCTCTCACAATCATTATAGTTATCTGCATCCTTGTCAATCTCAAGTGCAAAAGAGATAAACTTCTTTTGGAGTTTCTTCAATGGAGGTTCACCTCTTGTGGTGGTTGTGCGAGTCAGAAGCCTATGTTTGATGATCGTGTCATCTTCAAGGGGACCAAAAGCATAGTGTGCTGTCATCTCTTCTCCCCTACCAGCAATTTTCCTTCCTTTTACTAACATTGTATCAGCCAAGAACTATTTCTACCCTGCAATATTACCACATTTATATAATCTGCATGTATAATAAAATCTGCAACAAAAAGAAGATACATTGTGTTTGAGCTGATGGAAGAAAAGAAGGCAGAGGAAGAATGGAGAATCCTCAAGGTTGAAGATATGGATCCCAGGCTTTAATGCCATCTATGTTAAAATTATAAATATTACATTAGTTGCTTTTGTAAATGTAGAGTTCTAAGTTTTCAGTGTCAGCATACTCTCCATTATAATTTCAATCATGTAGAACTTCATTATTTTGAGAAAAAATGAACATTTTGAAATATATTAATTATATGCTCCCCCAAATTCAAGGAAACTTGAATATTTAGTAGGCTGTAAACAAAACAAAACAATTTAAACTCAACGCTCTCTCATAATATCTCTGTAACCCAAAAATCTCTTTAAATTTCTCTTACTATATGTACATGCTAGGATAACATCTCCACTCTATTTCTCAATACACCACATGTGAGAATAGCATCTCAATTCATATGACAATAACAGTGAGATTCAGCAATTTACAAACAAAAAATAATAGTTATGAGTTACTTAGTGATTTAAAAGGTGGTAAGGTGCACCTGGACACACAGGCAAGGCACATTTTAAGGTATGTGCATGTGCCTGGTGCACCTTGTGCTTCAGTTCAGCCATGTGCCTTTTGAAAATTTGCACATATTTTTGTTTTTTGCCCCTAGATCCCCAACCAAGCCTCTTGAAGCAAGCCCAAACAAGTCCATATTAGGATCTTAAATTCTTAATCCCTACAAAACAAAAGATTTCATAATTTTAATTGTATTTTAAAATATCTTTTATTAGGATGAATGAATGAGCAACATTAGCAAATTGGGGGTTCTTGCAATTCCCCCCCCCCCTTTCCTCTTCTTCCTCCTCATCCCCCTCCTCTCAAAAAGGCTTATGCCTCCTAATGCTTGGCAGGTTTATGCCTTTTAAGTTTTGAACTACGCCTCATGCCTCCAAGTAGTGAAACTCCTCACGTCATGCCTTCAACTTGAGTTGGTTCTCTCAAGAAAGTTGCCACTCATATACTCTTGTTTCTTTTATTGGATATGGTGATGCTTTGTTAGTTCCATCCCCTCAAGAAGTCTTGGATGTAAAATGGTCAAAAGGAGGCAAAGTTTTGACCCAACGTGCTCCAGGAATCACTATTCTCTCCATTAGATCTGCCTTGTGGTGCTATTGTTCCCTAAATATTCCCATTTTCCTTTCTTCCCATGCTGTCCATAGCACAGCTGCCCTAGCATAATTCCATAATCTTTCGCTGCTTTGTGTATACAGGAATCTTTCACAAAAGAAGCTCTGCTCACTGTCTGGAGGGACCCACCTACAGCCAAACAGAGAGAGAACAAAACTCCAAAGGCAAGAGGTATAAGAAATGGTTCTCACCACATGCTAAAGAACGGAGCGATGGAGAAAGAGTTCGTGGTGGAAAGTTTGTGAAGAAAACAAAATGGAGATCGTCAATGAAGGTGGAGGCTACAGAAGAGAAATGAGGATTAAAGGAAGACTAAGATTGAAGATAAGAAAACAGAAAAAGGCTATGGTACTTCTGGAAGGCTTAGAAATGATTGCCTGACTGAAAGGATTTGTATCTGATGCAGCAACTAAAGGGAAGCAGATAAGCTGGAATTAAAACTTCTCAGAGATGGGTAGGAGGTATGTGATGGAAAGCAAGAGGCATGCAAAGGGTGCATTCATATCCCTCACTGAATATTTTGCTGAAGGAAGAAAACAAATGGTCTGTCTCCCAGCAGGGAAAAATAGTCAAGGTTGGAAAAGGGTGGCTGATATTTTAACAAGCTTCACAAATAGAAGGAAGATGGAGGAAGATGAGGTAATGGAATTTGGAGGAAGTGATCAGAACCAGTTCATTAGCAGTCCTATTCTGTGTGAGAGAGAGGAACAAAAGCAGGACTTCCTGGCCTTGGTAAATAACAGTAGGATTCCTTCCTTAGCAGTAAACGGGATAACAGGGCAATGGAAAAGCATGCTAGTGATTGAAGCTGAAAAGTTAGTGCTAGATTGGTGGGAAGTTGCAGAACTTTTGAGGCTCAAACTGGGGTTAAAGAAAACTTTTATGTTAACTCTGTTTGATCATGCTAAGGCAGTTCTGAATCCCCTAGGAAACCAGGTATATATTGATGCCTTATGTATTCAGGATACTTTGGGGACCTTCTCGATCTTTAAATGGTCTCCATCTTCCAACTCAAATCTCTTCTCAGTGGAGGATAATGTGACTGTTCGAGTAGTTGGCTTGCCTTTCCATCTTTGGAATCAAGAGACAGCAAGCGCTATCGTGTTAATGTGTGGTGCTTGCCTTGATGGTGTGTTCTAGGGAGACCTTCAAAGTGCAGCCATCCTTCTGGGAGGAGTAAAACAAGAAGATATACCGAGGAAGGTTACTATTGGAGTGAATGGTTTATTCTTACCAGTTTGGTTAGCTTCCTCCATTGAAGCTGCACTTTGGAGGGAGGAAACTAGGCAAGAGGAAGACAAGAAGGTAGAGGAGATGGAGCTATGTGGAAGCATGTGGCTGGATAAACAAAAGAAACTGGGCAATTTTGCCAAAATGGAAAGACAACCTTTAAGCAGTCCATTGTTACTAACAACCTTTTTTTTTATCAATAACAATTTCAGCAATTTTATTAAAATATCACAAGAATACAAGAATAGTTACAGAAAGGAAGACAAACACTCCTATCTTCCAGAACAACTTAAGTCCTCAAAGAAAGAAGAAGCAATTTGTTACAACTTAGCCCAAAACATTACATCCCTTTCTATCCCCTGTTTAGCTAGCCCATCAGCTATAGAGTTAGCTGTTCTTTTGATTCAACTCATCCTGATTTCCATATCCCGCACCAGCCACTTGAATTTTCTCCTCTCATTGTTGTATTTCCATAATCCACACTTGTCTTTCCTCAGCCACTCTATCACCACCTCCGAGCCCCCTTCAATTATGAGTTTTCTGACATCCATTTCCTTAGCTTTTTGAACTCCTTCCATAACTGCCAGGATCTCAGCTCTAAGAGAATCCCCCACTCCAATTGGACCTGAGAACATGGCTGAAATGACCCCATTCTCATCCCTGAAAACACCCCCAATCCCTGATTGTCCAGGATTCCCCCAACAGCTCCCATCAAAGTTCAATTTTAGGAACCCAGCTGGTGGGGGGGGGGGGGTCCAAGATACCTTCACAACTGGTTTAGGCTTCATGCAATTTGCAATCTCTCCCCACTTCCTCAACATGTCATCCACTGTGTAGTCTACTAACAACCTTTGGGTCAGGGAGATAGTAAAAATCGTGGGCTACAAGGCAAAGATTTGAAAACCAATAGAACTTTTGCCCAAGTAGTAGACTCTGGCACCAAGCAAGGAAGGGGAAAGGTCCGTCATTAGTAACGGTTGATCTGGAGAATTGGGGGG